CCCTGTGAAAGATCAAAACTTAAGAACCACCTGGCTCGTCACAGCTGTGCCAGCAACCAATCAGTCCTCGGCATGGGGTAGACTGGCACCTTAGTGCGTGCATTCAGCTGGCGGTAATCCACAGCCATGCGGTAGCCACCAGACTTCTTCTCAATCAGGACTGGAGGTTCTGTGCCAGCAGGTCTTGAATACAGTTGTCCATGATGGCCTGCTTCTTGGCATTCACTGGTCTCAGTTTGCATCGAACAGGTGGGTTGTCTCCCGTGTCTATGCGATGCTCTGCCAGGGTTGTGCAGCCCGGAGTTGGGCTGAAGATTTCTCTAAACTCTTCTAAACTGTGTTTCATGCGTGGGTCTACGTCTGACGAGTGGCCGGGAATGATCACATTGCAGGCTGCAGTCGCCTCCGGCACACAGGCACACACACTGGCATCGCCCTCAGCAAAAATGCAGCGCAGACTGTCTCCAAAATCATCCACTACCTCTGGCTGTTCCTTAACGGCCTTGACAAAGGGCACAATTCTTTGTGGTTCTGTGCCGACAGTCCACCCATGAAGTGACACGTGCAGAGAGATGCCTCTTACCGTCGGGAAATCCCTACCAAGGACAACGTCGCGGCACAGGTCAGGAACGCACAAAAACTGCTGTCTGCGGCAACCGGCAGCCCACTCGATCTGGCACTTCAGAGACATGGTTGACTGCGACCAGCCTGATGCCAAACGCAGCACGCGTACGTCTGCCTTGAGTTTGGCTCCAGAAGCTTGGGCTGCCGCCGCGGCGTGCGGTCCGAAGAAGCTTACACTTGAGCCTGTATCTAGCAGGGCCTTGAACGTCGACGACCCGATACGGACGTCCATAAGGGGCTCTTTGCCACCGGCTGTGGTCGCTACTTGGTGCGCACTGACGTAGGTGCCCGCCGGGGCAGCACCTACCGCCACTGGTTTCCCGGGCACTGTGCTTGCAGGTGACCCGATCGCTGGCACCGCAAGCAAACGGGTGGCCCCATTCGTCGACCCGTGGCACAGTTACGAGATATGTGGCCGAATCCACCACAGCGATGGCACTGCACACGCATTGCTCCACTTGCGGGCTCCTGCTGCGGCATCGGTCCCGGCCCGTAGTGTGAGAACGGAGGCGCTGTGTCGGACGAGTACTGTCGGTCCCTGCAGTACGACGGGTCTAGCGCAGCTGGATGCAGTGGCCAGTGATAAGTCGGCGGTGCCGGTGGGGCAGCAGCAAACGAAGCCAACGACGCCGTCGCCATAGTGTTCGGCTGTGGCAGTGAGCGATGGTCGGGGGCCTGGCTAGGGCGGAACGCCAGATCTCTGGCTACTTGGTTGCTCGGAAGTGGCGGTGGTCTGTACTGGAGGCGACACCAAGCCCGCTCCATTAGGCCGTCGGCTGCCTTCACCAACTCGGTGAGGTCGTTGTAGGCATGCCCCTCCGCCAAATCTTGCAACTAAGGGTGCATCTGCCTCAGTACGCGCTGCACCTTCTCGGCTTCTGAGACCTCTTCCCCAATGCGGTCGTAAAACGTAGCGATCGCATATATAAACTCCATCAAATTTTCTTCCGGGTGCTGCGTGCGCTGTTCGAGCTCCGCCTTCAGGCGACGCTTCGCGTCAATCGACGAGAACTCGGAGCGGAAGGCGGCGGTGAATTGCTGCCACGAGTCGAATCCGCGCACGAACCGCCACCACAACTTCGCGCCACCCTCGAGGGCAGCCGGTACCACGTGTGTCAGTCGCTTATCGGCGGCGACCCCCGCACGAGGCAGACGTTTTCCAAACGTTCAAGAAACTCCTCCGGCGACTGCAAGTCTCTAGCACCGTAGTAGCGGGGGAGGTGCGCAGCGGCGAGCCGAGGCGCAGAGTCGTCGGTGGCCCGAGGGACCGCGCCAGTGTTAACAGTCCGTGCTCCCACGTGCGGAGCCGTGGGCAGCGGCGTCGCCATCACTCGATCGCACACGACCGCCGCGATTCGTTAGCGCTCCATGGCGGAGCCGTCGGTGCCCAGCAACAGCTTTTCAACGACACCTTGGAGCCTAGCCATGTCGTCCGCTGCTGTTGTCGGGCCTGAAGCCATCCCGGACGAGCCCCCACTTGTTACGCGTTAACCCTAAATCACGCACCACACACTGCTACGTCTTGCCACTCCCCCCAACCAGGCCGAACTCCCCCTTCCCCACACACGCAACCCCCACCACTCCAGTCCCCATGATGATGATGATGCCGTCACGTAGCGCCCTCTCTCGGCCAAGTCCCGATGATGATGACGCCGTCACGTAACGCCCCCTCTCGACCGCCCTCACAACGTCTCCATGAGAAAAGGAGTTCACGGTGACACACCGCTGAGGGAAACTGGCCCTCGCGACTATGCTGCGTGCTCTCATGATCAGTGACCGCAGGGCCCGATCGCCGGAGCGAGGGCGAACTCCGCTCACGTTAACTTCGAAAGGCACGGTTCGATGTAGTAAGACCAGGCACGTACACACCGCACCACTCTTTGGTCCAGCATTCAGAAGGGGCAACAAAGGTAAGCAATCGCCGCGGGCGCAAGGCACCATTGAAGAGTCCAAGCGGGCCCCAAGAACAAAGGGAGTCAATGGACGAAAGTAAGCATGTGCTCACTTTTCACTGGCCAGAGAGGATCTCTGACTGACTTTTGACGCATGTGCTAAATGTCCTGGGAGAATCAAGCGCAGCGCTACAGTCGACATCTGCTACAGGGTGAGAGGGGTTAACATCACTCCCGCTCTCCTTGTGCTGATGGACAGCGGACAATGCGAGAGTCATGTTAGGAAATGAGAACGGCAGAAATAGGTGACAAAGCTCGCGCATTGGTTGTGGGGTAGCCTAAATTCCCACAACGTCTGTGGCAAATTCAGAACGTAACAGTAGCGTCTAATGAGACCTTCCTTCGTAGCCCGCCGAGCTGTTGCGTCTGCTCTTGTTTTCGCCGTCATTCCGCCAAGAGATCTAGCAAGCAGTTCATGACAGTTCGGTTGCCTGTCTGACTACCGAAGGAAAATTCGTACTTCTCCTTCTGGGTGTTCAGCGCACAAACACATCTAATATTTAGCTCAATAGTTTTGTACACGCTAGTTGCACCTGGTCCACTTTGCATATAGTTGCACCTTGCAGAGAAAACTGTGCAAGGGAGTCGGACATTGCACTACCTAAAATGCTTCGATAGAGGGCGCTACGTGTCTGCGAATTAAAGAACTCCAGGTGGTCAAAATTTCCGGAGCCCGCCACTACGGCGTCTCTCATAATCGTATGGTGATTTTGGGACGTTAAACCCCACAAATCAAATCAGCTACGTGTCTGCGAAACTCCAGTCTAATATTTATAGTGGTCTCAAACTGTACTCGAAAGCAAGACTTGAAGTTCAGTATTGCTCATATAGGCACGGATTTCGAAAATAGGAATTTAGAGGCACTTACAGAAATTTAGGCCCAAACCTTCACATCATCAGCTGATGCACCGGTGACGGGAGCGAAGGACGTTTGGGCTAGATGCCTGAGACGTGGGCTTTATGAGGTGGCCGGCAAAATTGACGGCACTCAAAAGGGGGCTCTTCGAAGAGCCCAGCAAGGACGAGTGTTCCAGTCGCAATCCCCCTTTGGAAGCGAGCCACCCAAGGCAATCGCTAGTGTGCCACGTATTTAATGGAACGGCATGTCGAGTGAAGAAGCTGACAGTGATGGTTGGCCGAAAGGGACCTACTAGCGTAGGAAACGACAGCCTGCCTGCACAGGCGAACGATGCTCCGAGCTGCAGAGGTAACAGTGACATTGTTTAGGAATCGGGACCTGTGATAGATGCCCAAAGGACATGAGTGGACTTTGGCATGACGATAGTTATAGCGCGAGAACAAAACGACGACACAGAAACAAGAAGGACACGAAAGACACGAGCGCTCGTGTCTTTCGTGTCCTTCTTGTCTCTGTGTCGTCGTTTTGTTCTCGCGCTATAACTATCGTCATGCCATACCAACTAGCCCAAGCTGCCACACTTCTATGGACTTTGCCAACAAGACAAATGTGATTCAAGTTGGTCAGCCCAAAGCATCAGATGAAGTCTAGAGTTAAAACTTTAATTAAGATAATTGGGTTACTAATTCAGGTTGTGTTAAGGTTCACTTAGTTTCGAGTTATTGTCTTTGCACGTTTGCATGTTTTAGAGTGCCGTGCATTTGTTTTATAAATGTGTCGTTCTCACAACTGAGTCCTGACTGAGCTCGTTGCGAGCGAGGGATCACTTGAATTCATGACAGTGACACAATATAAATGCAAGGAACACAATAGACATTCACCTTTGCTTATGAGTTTCTTTGCCACAAGTGGCCGAGTGAATAGCCACTAATTAAGGGCAGAAAAACAGAGGCTCAGAAGTTTTGTTTCCTCTTTTTTTAATATGATTACTTGGTGTAAAAATAACATGCACAGATTGAACTGCATGCACTAGACATGCATGTTGTTCTTTTTTTGTGAAGTAGTTACAGCACTTACAAGTTATTAAGATGTTTTCAGTGGGCTGGGACATTGATGAAGTCGGTTATTACGGTGTGCCTGTAATTGTGAATGGATAAGCTTTAGAGACCTTGGAGAAAGAAAAAAAGAAAAAAAGGCTAGCATCATGTGACAATCTCATAGATTGCGACCAAAGCCTGCAGGCTACAGCATGAAATGACTAGGGCTGTCACTTCCTCTTAGTGTTTTTCCATTCTTCATGCATCAGATTGCGTGGCAGCTTTCAGTACTCCTGTTTAGCAGGAAATGTTGTGCAATGAGAGACTGTTTGGGAAGAGAGTTGCTTGGACCAGTCTGAGCATTCTAGTTTCATTTCAGAATATTTGCTGCACTACTGTCAATTGTTCAATTGATTAAATGGAAAGGGAGTACAGATGAACTGTTATGCTATTGATCAATATGACTGTCCTTTCATGCTATCTTAATGAGTCTCATGGAGAGTGCCATTCATGTTTGTTTGTTTACAGACTTTAAAGTTCTGGGCCATGTTCAGCTCACCCTTTGTGGCCTTCTACGCTGTCGGCCTTGTCCTTGATAGCCAAGAAACGTATCTGGTCAAGTTTGGCCTTCTTTTTATCATGGGCCTAGCCACCATCTTCCTATCCAAGTGAGTCATTTCCATAACACTTTGAAATCGGTTGAAATTGCTGCCACTTGGATGCAGGCTATAGTAATTTTATTGGCTTACCTAAACGAATATATTAGCAGGCAAGCATTACTTGTGGCCATGCCTACAGAGTGGCTCCCAGAATAGGCATTTGTTGCATGTCAGCTTGTGCTTATGGCACATCATGTGAAGGCACTTCTTGCAGGGACACTCATGGCATTTGATGCCACTCTATTCAGACACAATCGGACTCTTTATTCGGTACGGTTTTTGCCTGTCTTCTTTTCGCCATCCTTCTTAACATTTACGTCTAAGTGGCCAGAAGTACATCCTGCCAGTCTAGCAGCATGAAAATTTGGGAGTCTAAAGTGAGGGAGGGGGGTTTGTATAGTGAAAATTGAGACGGGACTGGCATCCGAAATGGGTCAAGATGTTTATTTTGAGCTGCTTTGTTCTTTCATCATGAGAAACTACTCCTTGTTTTTTGTAGTAGAGGGGACCAGACTTCATCGCTTTGGAAAGGACCTGGTTCACAGTACATGTGCTCAAAAACATGTCTAGTTTGGTGACCCTTTATTATGCGGAGGTCGCCTGGAGGCTTGTTGCAAAAGTGAAGACTGCAGTTCGGTCCTCGGCTCCTTAGCTATGCTAAAGGTCCTCTCACGTTCAGCATTGCTGCATAGAATGGGAAACAGCTGCTGTGTAACCTTTGCCCTTCTACTCACCATCAACACTAGTGACTTTTCCCACTTTTGACCACTGAACATCAATCCACCCACTTTTGACCACTGAACATCAATCCACTCTTCATTTAGACTGTCCCCAGAAGTACCGTGTGCCTGCAGTTCCGACAATTCCACTTCAAGGGAATCCAATGCTGCTTCTCTCAACTCACTCTTCCCCTGGATCAGAATTTGCATGAAGGACTCTATGAAAAAGTGAGGCCTTGTGAAAGATGCATCAATCAAGGGCTTTAAATGGGTGAATGCCACTTTCTTCAAGGTGTCATTCTTCAGTGGAACTTGGTGTCGTATGTAGTCACATGCGACAGTAAAGTATCCTATACAGTAGGAAAAAAAAAAAAGGTGCTGCTTCTCACTTGCACATAGCTCCTCCACAATAATGTGTGGCTCCCGAGGACAGGATCTTTGTTGCCGTTTTGGTTCTTTATATCTTGACAGATCACCTCTAATGGTGAAGAGCAAGCCTTAAAAATGCCCTGTGACACTTTACCGACAGCTCTATTTAACACGGGAACACATGTAGCAATGATTGCTGAGACAAATGCAACAAGAATGATGGAAATTAGTTATGGAAGTTATGAGTCCTCAAAGTTCAGCAGTCGAGCAGACGACAACGAGAAACATTCTTTTTCACATTTCACTTGGCTGCTGACGTCAAGGACCGCTTCCAATCACAGCGCACGTCTCATAAAGACATACCAGAAATGTCACCTCAGGGTGGCCTTCACACAATACCTCGCTACTGCTCTTTTTGACAGCGTCGTTAGCACGGTTACTATGAACCACGTGCGTCAGGTAGTAGACGCTTCCACGGTCATACTGTGTATTATACACACATACGCTTTGGGCGGGGTCACTTCCTGGCTTGCATGCAAGATGCATTCGACGGCAACGCTAGTGTCCGCCGCATGTCGCATTTTTCGGCTCGCTAAAAACGCGGCATGCGTTTTCATATTTAGTTGCTGCCGTACCATAGCTTCGTTTGCAAACTAAGTGTGGTGTTCATTCTGAAAATACATAATTTATAAACAGGAATGAGTTCTGTTTGAGAAAGTATAAAAAGGGTTTTTGCTGTTTTTAGCAATCACTCATATGGCCTAGCTACCCCCTTATGAATACTGCACGCTACTTGTCGCGTCAAGCCAATCAAAAGCGGTCTTTGTCGTTGTGTCACAGGACATAACATCACTTCCCTTAACAAAAATAGCCGATGTGTGTCGCCGTAGTAGTCTGAAAACAAGGTAGTTTGTCCCGTTGATTAAAGTTACGACAGTTTCGGTTTCCGCATTGCCACTTGCTCAACGATATCGGCACATTCCACAGCACCAGAAGAACGGATGAAAACGACCTACTCGAATTGTGTCAGAAGGCCCCTTTAATGGCGGAGGGATTGATAAAGCAACCCTGAAGGTCCCTTAGGAGCTGCATTATGGCAGATGAATTTGAGGTGACTGGAGTTGGCCGTTGACCTTGTCAAACACAGGGATGACACTCTTCAAGAAAACGCTGTAAGCCCAGTGTACATCAGAGCTCAGGAAGTGCAAAAGCCATTACTCATGGCTCAAACTGGTCTAGTACTCTCGTATGAAAATGTAGAGGAATGATGTTTCGGACTACATTAAGCTGATTAGTTTTTTATGTGGTACAAGGCCCCATGAGCCGTCTCGTCTCTTAGAAGCGTCTGGTCTTCTCTCTTGATTCCGGGTGTTACTCTAGATAATGTTTATATTGGCTGCGCCCTCCGGTGGCATACCGGGGTCGGTGGTGGTTGCGAGACGTTGGCAGTAAAACTGAAACTATTCTCACACCACCCCACGTCGTAAAGGAAAAGGCCAGCCTGTTACACATGTAAATTGGTGGCAGGAGAAAAGAATATGCCAGCACAGGAACGACGTCAGGAAGGTGGATGTGCAAAGCAACGCAGTGCCCTTGCTGAGCATTTTGAGAAACGGGACCATAAGATTGACTTTGACGGCGGTTCTGTCATAGAAACGGAAAAGAATCTGGAAAGGAGGCTCTAACTCGAGTCCTGGCACATACAGCACACACCGGCGAATGTGAACCGGCTCCTGGGAACAATGCCTTCGATCTACGTGCACAGCCTCCAAAACGTGAGGGAAAGGGAAAGATGAAGCCTAGGACAAGACGCATCGACACTTCCCTGACCATTACAGCCAACCCTCAGGAAGGGACCAAGCCGGTCTTGAAATGTTGAGTTTTCTGGCTGGAGATAATTCAACTTCCGTAAGAATTAAAATGTATCGCATAAAAGAAAAACCAGTCGATATTTATAGCAGCGCTGTGCATCCCCTTTTTTGTCGTACTGCTAGCCTTATTATTGTCATCTAAATTTCAGCCACTTTCACAGCAGCTGCTAAAAATGTCGATCTATTCGAAATTTATTGCCTGATACCGCCACTTAACCTGTTTGAATGACATTGTCACATAAAACTCCAAATCTTGAAACAAGTCGATTAAGTAGATTTGGTATTCAAACACTCGCAGCAAGTTGTTTACAAACTTTCCCCAACTACGTGCACACTGCAAAAGCCCAGGCGCTGCAGTCGGTGATTGACAAAGGACCAGCTAGTGGTGAGCGTGCTGTGGCCATAGAACAGTCATGGTAAGACATCCAAACGTGCATGCAGATGTATGCATCGATTGCCAACAGACCACACCAAGAGCAATCGGCTTTGAATGAGCTTCTGACAGCAACTCCGCTCGATATCGCAGAGCATTTTGCGTGAACTCTGGGGTCTTGAAATGGGACGCGCTCTCGGAACACATGGACGCAGTAGACGTGGTTGCGCAAACCAAACATAGTGTACGTTTAATCAACTACTTTTACATAGACGATGTCATCAGCTGAATCAAATATATCCCTAGTGACACTCTAAAACAACCCTATACTATATTTTAATGCACTCAATTAACATAACAAATACAAGGTAACACCAAGGCAGCACTGCAGACTTCGCCTTACCACGAGAGGTTCACGGGAAACGACCTGTGGTGTCGCCCCCGTGGCCCCACAACGGGAGATGACTGTTCACGCCAGCCGCCCTGCGCCAAAGAGAGCCCCCCATCTTTTCCGTGCTGCCACTTAGTCTCGCCGCCGGGCGTCAATGGTAGCCCTGCCGCGCTAACCATAATGATGGTGGGGAAACCGCGCGAACACTGCACTAACTACTGCTTGGTGCTTGTTAAACCGACTTCACAGGGTGTGATAGCACCCCCATGACACTCAGTGCAGATTGTTTTATGAACTTGCCCACTAGTGTTTAAGTGTCTCTAACTGGACAGACTGGCTGGCAGTGTCGAGCAACATTCACGAAGAGAGCGCACATGCGCTGAGCAGCCTCCGAATTGCATCGTCCTTTTGTGTGTGTGCTTCTATTTTACTCATCTTTCGTGCCTTTTCCTTGTGATATGTTAAACTAACTGTGGACATCCCACGCTAGCCTGCCACTCAAAGATCTCCAGATAAATCGAGAAAAAAGAGATTGCCACTTGTTTGGTGAAATCACAATCCTGAACTCAGAATAAGCTATTCTGGACTCTGAATAAATATAATGTATTGCGAGTTAAAGCAATTAAAACTGCTTGGCACATTTTCATTTATTTCATTTCATTTATTTGACCCTTAGCATCAAACAAAGCATTACAGAGGGGAGTGGTTTACAATGAGAAGTTTGTGTAGCATAAGTAAAGCATAACTAGGGATGTAATACAAAGAACAAAAAACATAAGAAATTCATTACAAAGTGTAAAGTGAAGGTAACTTATACAATGAATACAAACATAAAAAAATTTAAAAAATCGAATGATAGACATGCAGTATATACGAGTGAATAAATGACATTCTAATTAGCAATGTTTTTTAATGCAATACGAAACATTACTAATAGATACAACGTCTTTCCACTCTAGTGACGCCGAAGGAATGAATGATTGACGAAATGTGTTTGTGCTGCTAGAAAGAAGGTGAACTTTATGAGAACGGTCTATGCGACGTGATACGTAATGTGGATTATGAATAAACATGTCATGCAATGTTGGGTGGTGAAATATTTTATGAAGCAATGATAAACAGAAGTTTTTACGAGGGGCTACAGGAGATGAAAGTGATAGGCTAGATTTCATGGCTGTTACACTGGCATTTCGGTTATAATTGAAAAAAATTAAACCAGCTGCATTATTTTGGACTAGTTATAATGCGTTAATTAGACTGGTGTTATGGCGGTGCCGAACAGATGAAGCATATTCTAATTTCGGGTGCATTAAAAGTTTTATAGAGCAATAATTTTAAAGAGCCCGAAGCATGAAAACAGTTTCGCCTGAGGTAGCCATGGGTGCGGTTTGTATTGTTAATGATGTAGTTAATGTGTGTTGCCAAAGAAAGGTTGGATGCAATTTTCTGCGAACGAGAACTCTCTGTTTGATGAAGGCACTGATGTGACGCATTATAAGGTAGCCAAACAAGATTTTTAGAGTGGATTGATTTTAGCAGCCACACTGCTATCAATAAAGCCAATTTACCAGACTTTGATTGGACCACTGAGTAGTGGTGACTGGAATTCTCTGTCCAGGACTGAAGCGGTTCCAGGTGATTTAGTTAGACAATGACTTGTGGCACAGCACAAGACATTTATCAAATAAACATGTGGCACTCTGAAAATATAGTGTACAAAATAGGATACTATACAATACTGCAAACAAAGAAAAGTTAGCAACAAACTATACAACTAAACTGTCTCACTCTGGAACCAGCGTTGTGCAGGACTGACTTTACGTGGCATTGCTTACTCGGCTCATAGAAAGTCCTAGTTGGTAATCTCGACACTCTTCATGAACATAGCATGACGTCACTGAACAGTACTTAAAGTCAGGGTGCTGTAATGGGTCATGCTTGACTCTTGATTTGGCATGCAATATGTGGTAATCTTGATACTCACCGTGGTCAAGATCACCATAAGCACAGGCTTAGCGAGCCACAGGGCCACGTATACCACCGCTCTGCGCGCACTCAGCTAGCAAAGCGTTAAGCGGTGCATGATGTGTTCAATCTAACAACACGTGCCTTTGGTGGCACCCCAAACACAGTATAAACAAAAGGCTCCCGCACACGGACGTACGCTAAAAGAGGAAACTGCGAGCACGTTGCAGCTAGCTATGGTGAGCTTTGACACGTGGCTATACTGCACACTCCTGTGATGACCACTGGGCCTGGTCGTGAGAGCTACAGCAAATTTTATACGCATAGTTCTCCGGCAAGTGCGGCTCAGCATAGTACAACCACGCACAAGCACTAAGCACCACTCTGGCTTCCATTGTACGGAGTCTGGGCTAGCACAAAGGTAAACACGTCTGCCGGGGATGCCAGGGAGGTTACAGTGCGGCAATTTTCAAATTGGGTGCTTGCACCTGCTTATCATGCGCCATCTGATCAGAGAAAGCGACCATCGCTGGTTGGTACGTGACTCGCTGTCCCCAACTATTGCGGCCCGAGACCGCTCGGAGCACCACCATAATAACCAGCGGGCGGCGCCATTTCTCGCCTTGTGCCATCACCAGAGCATGCGAGAGGGAGAGAGGGTACCAATGGAATGGCGAAATGCCCATGCAACGGCTCCGGCATGCCTCAATTCTTCACAGATGACTTGTCGCGAGACAAAGAAATCATTGCCATTGTGAATCAAGGCACCTCGATTGATGTTTTCACCTTGCGTTTGTGCAGTTTAATAGCTGTTTTACATCTGTGGCCAGGAATGGTACTGAACGCTAGCTACAGTCGATCCTGGATATATCGAATTCGAAGGGGATTGCGAAATAGTTCGATATATCGAGAATTTAAAATACAAAATATGCATATTTAAGGCCTAAATTGAAGAATTTAAGGCCTCAGAAATCTTTACAAGAGCTAACTAACGATTCGCTCAAAAACAAGGTACGAACTACAGATTACCACACTTTATTCAGTCCTTAAACTTTTCTTGCTTCTTGCACGCTGTCAAGTTCCAGTCATCCCTAATATTATTGAAGTTTTTCAAATTAGCGAACTAAACTTCTTCGGTCACAACGTTGATTGACACAGAAGGCTGATGCAAGCTTTGTAGCGCGGTAAAAGCTTGATTAGCTGTGGAAGCGAAGGTGTTGGCACGTTCATAACCACACGGTTACACTTCCACGGCACCGGCAACGGCAGCCAAAATCTCAGCATCGATGCAGTCAGAAACATCGTCATCTATACCGATAAAGTCGCAACTGTTTGAGATGGTGCCCGGTTCTGCTGATAAGTCGCAGAATTCACTGAGGCTTCGTATGTTGTTGTCAGCGGTCATAACGCACCTGAAGTCGTACCTGGCCCACAACGAACGTTTACATTGTTTTATTTGACATCGCTCCAAGCACCAGTCATAATTTTTATCGCTACATGCAGGTCAACGTTCAGTTCAACTCCCGAATGAGGATTTATTAGGAACGAGGCGAGAAGGCCACAAGGGGCAAAAGACGCAACGCCGAGTTCGTCAGAGTTCTCGTCAACATGTTGGCGATATCGATGCCACTTTGGCTTTGTAGCTGGCAGCCACTGCTTTTAGCGGCTTTGATGCGAAACGATAAAAAAAAAAAAAGGCGTAGCCTCTAAGACACGCATTCAGAAATCGAAAACACTAAAAATATGTCACAAGGTTGCACATCTCGAAGGCCATGCTTTTCAGGCTTGCATGCCTTTGTGCGCTAACAGACAAGGGAAGGAATGCGAACCATATGCGAACATTGCACTGAGATCACAGAGTCACTTTGCATTCTCTTTCAGTGCCCTCGGCAATCGGTCTTTTGGAAAACACTACGCCCATGCGCTAAGACCTGCAGATTGCGCATCAAACGTTCTTATTTACTCACAAGTGCCACGCAATGAACCAGATCAGCACGATGAAATGACACCGTTTTTTTCGTCGCCTGCATGCGAAAAAGGATTGGAACTTGTTAGAACGTGGCCTAAAATATATCAATATTTGCTAGAAAAAACGGACTTTGTGTGGGTTTCGGCGTGGCGCAGCGTTCGATATAGCGGATGCCCCACTGAACGGGAGTTCGATATAGCGGATGCATTGGTTGCATACTTTTGCGTGGGAAATTCAAAGGAATTTTTCAACTGTTCGATATAGCCAATAATTTTATATATCCGAGTTGGATATATCCGGGATCGACTGTATCACTGGATGTGAGCTGGGAGCAAATAGTTTGGTTCTGTGAATGTTACTGCATTGTCGTCTGTACACTACTCGGGGCAACACTCCAGGTTTCGGCACCAGGCCTTCGTTGCAGAATAGGCACGATAGCTCCGCCTAGTTCGGATCACAACAGGTTTGCATTTATTTTTATTTTTTTGGCTTTACAGACTACTTCATTGGCACAGCATAAAATCACGGCCTCTAGATCTTGGGTTTAGCAAAGTGGATTGCTCTTAACATTGTGGAAGTTGTTCATTTTCATAATGCCATGTTGTTCAAACATTACTGCGGCACTTCTGTATCAGAACGATTCCTTCGGCAACTGCACTGTGTAGAAGTATTCTAGAAACGCCTTTTACTGCCCGCGCTGTTGAGCATTGGTTGGTAGGTGACAACATAACATCATGAAAAGCATGACTTGATGTGGAAATGAGACAGCAGAAGTATCAGAGTGACAGAGCTGTCTGAAGTGAACTGCCACAATGAGGTAAAGAATAGCTCATCAAGCTCTATATATCTAAAAGGACATTGCATTGTTGATACTGTTGCTTCCACTTGTCAGTTACAAGGCTGTTTTAGGGGAATGCCTCCCACAATTTTATTTCATTTTTTTTGTTTCAGATGTTTATTTGATGAACGCAGCATGAACATTCTCCCAATGGCGGTGTACTTGGCCACAAAGTTCTGGATGTATATTACCTGGGTGACAGACCTATGGCCTTGTATCCTTCTGGTATTTACAAGTCTGGTATTTACCTTTCTTTTCTCTTGAAGGAAAAAAAATCTAAAGAAACGGTGGAACAAAATGTGTTTGTTTACAGGATTCTTACGTGAAAACGTCTAGCTAAAATTGTTGAGGTCTAAGCAATGTTGTTACTATGATTGATGCAACTTTTCTCTGATGTAGCCTTGTGAATTGAACACATTTGTATCAGTACACACTGCCTGGTAGGATTTGAATGTCAATGTGATCAGCGACTGTCGTGATGTTTACAATGTTACATATCACGCTAAAAAAATTATTGCTGTTTGTAGTGAACTATAGGGGCGTAAAATGCATTATTCACTTAGATTTCTAAAATGCACAGTCTAGTAACTCACAATAGTGACTGCTTCCTAAAAGTGCGTCGTATGTACAATTAAATTTGATTCGATGACAGTAGGTTTGGCTAAAGCTGTGTGGTCATGTTCGTTTCTACAGTGCACACTCACTTTGAGTATAGCATGCTCAACTTGTGTTTCTCCAGGAAATAGAGTGTATCTAAGAAAAGTGAGTTTTAGAAAATGTCCTTTATTTAATCTTATATGCAACCAAGTTGATACAATAGGTGACTTGCTATGTTATAGGTATGGTGTATTAAAATACTGCTTGCAGATTGCCGATATTTCTTACACAATATAAAAGCCTGCTGTTGTATGCAATATAAAGCTCAGAGCGATAGCATAACAAAAATTTCAACAAAATCAATCCGGCACTTTGCTGAAAAAACAGTCACAAGGCTGAAGCCGAAGTAATGAATGTGATGGCAACAAATCGGAAGTAAGTGTAGGAGAGTTAGGAACCATACGAAATGTAGTGAACATGGTCGATTGTGCCTAAATGGACAGTAATGCAGTTACCACAATATCTAAACAGATGTTGTGAATAGTTGACTGTGTGACATCGGACAAGAGGCATTGTACAAGGTCAGCATTGAGAAACACGACAAGCCACTGGTTTTCATGTCGGTGTACATTAACGTTGAACTCTCCAGTGACTATCCTCTAGGCACCCCGCATGGAAGTTGTGCAGCAAGAAGTTCATGACATCAGTCAGCAAGGTTCCTGGTGTAATGTACACTGTCGTGATGATGAAGCCGTGCAATGTTTTAACTGCTCAAGCGTCTCCACAACTCATCTAGGGCGCAGCGGGTTGGCTTTGATAGTGGTGACGTGCATTTAGATGGGAACCAAATTCACAGGCATGACAGGACCACCAACTTCCCGAATAGTCCTAGACTTGAAGCGAGCAATTTTTTCTGTTGCTTATAGTGAAAGGGGAGCCAGAGACATTTCGGAATGCCCCTTACATCCAATTGTATACATGCGGTTCAGGGAAGCTACCCCTCCATTGATCACGCCATTGGACACGTCGATGTTAAGGGAAAACATTTATGACTTGTTCAAACGAGGTACATGTCCATTGACAGTTAGCCAGTGGCAAATAGTGTATATACATAGCTCGCCGTTAGTGAGATGGACATTATGAGCGGTGTGAACTCGGAACTAGCAATTCCTTGCTGCGTTAACCAAATAGGCCACGCCACTCATGCTATCCATCTCACTGCAGTAAAACCTTGTTGATTCAAAGTCAGTGAGACTGCGAGAAATCTTTGAATTAAGTGGGTTTTCGGATTAACAGAACATACAAAAATTGTGGTGGGATCGGATGTGCGCTCACAACAATTTTGCAGGCATTCCACCGTATGACCACTCCCTTTTTTTCTCCCGTTGCTCTGGTAGCGGCGTGTGGTGATACATGGCACCACGCGCGGGCACCTCACGTGTTCTTGGGGTTTGTGAGAATTAGCGAGGCTGAGTCACGTGCACTTCGTAAAGGGCCTCTCTTTTCTCCATTGGCCAGCGCATGGTAAGCACGTGATTTTCTTTTGTCCGCTTCCCCTTTGGTAATCGCCGCACTGTAACCTGCCTGGGTGCCTAAATATCCCCGGTGGGCATATTTACCTGAGTGATAGCTTCGGTATTGTACGCTAAGCCAAACAGCAGAGCCTAGTGCTTGAAGTGGTCACACCACGCCATGCCGCTCTAGCCGTAGGCCTACGTGTACGAGGTTGGCCCTAACTCTCGCGACCAAGCTGAGTGGCTATCGTTAGAGTGTGCAGCATAGCCGCGAGGGACCTTTTGCCGACCAGCGTGTGTGTTTGTGTATTGCTGTTAATTGAACACTGTCTCTTTCGCCGTGCCGCGCTGAACGCTTTGTTAGTCGAGCACGCGCGGAGTGGTGCACTACACATGAGTAGGTGACGGAGACGTGGCTCTGTGGCTCGCTAGCGTGAACCCGCGGTGATCATCCGCTACGGTGAGTAGCGTGGTGTCACCACAAGTGGTATTAAGGAACTTGAAAATATTCAAAGTAATCAGGTGTGGTCGTTTGCTGTGCTGGTTAGTTTGCAGCTCCAAGAGTCATGTTTACTCGCAATACCTTTTCTTAGTTTTGCTGCAAACACCGAGGAACGGCAAGCCTCTCTGCTGCCGGCGGAAAAAGAGAAACAAAAATATAAGTTGTGATGAACTGTAATGCGTGCCATGTGGAAAACAAGACATCTTCGCTGCAGCACAATAGTGATGCGCGGACAGCATGTCACTTGCTGTTCGCTGTGTCAGCAAGTCATGATGCGACCATTCGCCCATTCGTTTTGATGAAAAAAAATTTAATAATGGCTGATGTGGGGGCATTTGCTAATAAATTTCAGTGGAGAACATGCTCTTTAAAGCTTCGAACTTGCGTTGCAGGCAAGAACTCTGCCAGCAGCTTGAATGCGCAAGTTGCTGCAGAAACCAGCAATCGGAGGTTGGCATACATCGAGAGTTTTGCCAGACTATCTCTCATTAATTTCTTTACAATTCTAGAAAGAATCATAGGTTAATCATAATGTGCTGACATTGTGAGAAATATGGAATTAGATGCCCGCGCGTCGCCGCTGGTTGCACTAAAGCACGTCTTATTTTCTGCAGGTGCATCTATCAGCTACCCAAAGTCCGTTTATTTTTAATTCTTCATTTTTTGAGCTGGAAGTAGCAAGGCTGGGGTGCTTCAACTGCCACTCACTAGTATCACTATGTCGCATTACCTTGTGGCTTTTAAGGGTCGTCGTTTCTGCCCGATTTGCAGCGAAATTAGGATCGGGAATGTATACATAGCACCCAAAATTTCTAAGGTTAGATGTATCCCCGTTAGGCATTCAGAAACAGTTTGTATTGTCCATTTTAACTTGTTTTCTGGAGCATATTTGCCAAGATTTTATATGTCTAAAATTATAGTTATACAAGGCCTTCTTGACAAAATAAATGTTCAAATAATGACCTGTGTATAATCAGTTATAGCAACAACTCCTTTAAAGTTAGTTTGAGGCTATTTTGCAAACAATGCAAAACTGTCACTCGGCTTATTAAATGCTATATTTACTACTACCCACAACATACGTCAATAAAGACAGTCATTGTGACGAATGCTTCACAAAGTGAACAAAGTGTGAAATCGGGATTTTCTGCCCATATATACACCAGAATTTTTTGCACTCATTTTAGCTCTTCGTGAATTATGGCAGCATCAATAAGTTCAGCAATAGTTTTGATGGATTCACTATCGCGCTTACTGCAAATAAGGATTCGGACATTTTGAGTGCTTTCGAATCATTGGTTCCACTGCAGACAAATTTAATCAAGTTACTGTGTGTTTCAAGGGCCTAATTATGAATGAAATGGCAAATGCTCCAGCTACGTCAATTTGAATTACTTGGGCACTCAGGTTTATCTGGCATCTGAATCCATTACCTAGATTTAGGAAAAAAATTGTTAGGTGAATTTGCCGCCCCGTCATTAATGACCGTATTAGATTTCCAGTATGTTAATAATCGTGGAATACTGAAATATGTCTATGACGAGTAATTGAAGTCATGATCACAAGACTGCATTGTCAGGCTCCCTACTTAAATTTTTATCTACCTAGAGGCGGTATGGAAGTTTCTCCTAACTTCTTTTTGCGGAGTACATGAGACAAGCTAGCATTATCTCATTTCCTGTGAGAGGTACTGTAATTCCACAAAATTACTTTATTTGCCAGGTTTCAGAAGTTTTTAATCCCCAATAATTATTATTATTACTCTCGTTGCCATTTTCCATCTCCTTAGCATAAGTTCTCAATGCTCAAAATGCACCGTCTTTCGGGGCTTTGTCTCTTGGTCACATCAATGGAAGATTGCTGACGCATTATGAGAAATTTCTAAAGGTTGAAAAAAAAATTAAGTTATAAAATCTACTTTTCCAAATTTTTATTCTCTCCAGATTCTCGGATTCACAGCTTCAATTCTATTGGGTTTTATACCAGTCTTAATTTTTGTTCATTTATACTTTCTAAATAATTAAAGTTTGAACTTTGATTTCATAACTTCCTGTAAAAACTAACCTGTTCTTTGCCCATCTTTCAGCATGGGTATGAGCCACAGTTTTTAGGGACTACTTTATTCTACTGTACTTCAGGACGACTTTTTTTTTTTCTGTTTGTCTGTTAGATATTGCGAAACTCCTCAATAACTTTATAACTGCAGACAAGCGTTATTTTTCCTCCTTGAGCTCACCCATGAGAGATTGTATAGCTACACGCAGTGAAACCTCGTTAGTGCACACCCGCTTTAAGCGTGCTAACAGTGAGAACGTACTTGTGACGAATCCCCGACCGAGTCTCATAGAGAGTAATGCATTTGCAGACCACTTAAGCCGTAGTGTTCGGAATATGCCTTCCGGTTAGTGCATACTAACTGCGTACGGCGATAACGTTTTGCTCGATAAAATTTTACTGCTCGCTGAACTTGCGGACGCCACAATGTGCTGTGAACTGTTTTCCATCATGTTAAGTGCGGAGATCAGCTAATAAGTTATTACCAGTTCCGGGCGATTGCGGCGATGACGCTGCGAGTAACCATCGAGGGAAAAAACGAAGACG